AGAGAGAGAGAGAGAGATATTCCGTTGTACATCCGTTTCTTAGGAAATCAAAATATTATTCAAAATATTTCTCCAGTATTATTTTTCCGATTTCCGATTATTAATTAAATATTTTACGTGCAAACTTCGTTTAACTTAATTCGAAAGCTTAATTCCAGACTGTACTTGATCACGCGCCACGTACTCCATCCGTAGTGAAATATTATAGCGTGGGATATGAATCAGAGGTTAATTGATTGCCTCATGCTTGAAAAAAGATCATGTCAGCTGCCTGTAATGCATGCCGATGAGATTATTTTACTTAGGCAAGGAGCTATTTATACGTCCGAGTAGTTGCCCGACTTATCTATATGCCAAGGGTTGTGTTAGTTGGACAAACAGCTCCTTCCAATCTCTCGCCTTAAGTCATGGTTATGTAAACAACCAAGACTCCCCGCATGCGGGCACACCGTTAAAGTACCGTAAAATATGTATCGCTCGCTCGCGATACGTAGGCGAGTAAAATTCTTCGTAAATTTTGCTTATTATTCAGATTTAACAAACCCATTTCTCAGATTAATTCTTACATCACTTACCCTAAAGGTTAATATTTATTATCGTTAAACATCGCACAATGAGAAATCAATTTATTAGCCAAGTAATTTCACATGTGAAACATAAAAAAAAAAATTTTTTTTTTAAAGCTTTTTAAATGCAAAATTATTTAACGGTTTTACATTTGATCGGACGATTGCAAAATAATTGTATCATTAAAATATCTTTATACTCTAAGTACAGTCTAAAACAGACAGCTAAACTCGATTGGCTTTAATTATGGGTCTTTGTTCGAGTTTAATTAGCTTCGGCAAGAAGGAATTTCCAGTAGAAGTCTACATATTTGGCACGATGAGCGAAAATCACGTGGAGAAGTAGCTACGAGCTTGATTTAATTTAATTCCGAGCGTCACTTTCAATCTGCATGTGTTCGCTTCCTTGTTTCCCAAAAATTGGTAGTTTTAAAAAAAACTAGAATTCACCAAGAGGTAAATTCGTCGGAAAACACACGCGCACCAGTTTTGTTCAAATATTCTGTGAACATTCTATACGACCGTGTAACAATCCGACTATAACAATATAATAACGAAAGTAGTTTTTCCAATAAATGTTTTTATAAAAGTAATATAAATACGGATTGGAAGTGTTCCATTATAAAAATGAAATATTACTCACATAGCATATAAAAGCTATGTATCATGCAAAAAAGTAATTTTATACATTATTAGTATAAGATATTTTAGCTTTTCCTGCAATTTATTTTTTACAATTTAAATTAATCCACTCTACAAAAAAAACAAAATATTTGTAAGTTAAGTGTAAAAGGTAAAAAAAAATTTACTAATAAAATAAAGTTATTAGAAATTTAATAGTGAGCATGAATTACAATTTTTGCATTTGTATATATTATATATTGTATATATTAAAAATGACACAAAATTTATAACTTCTTTTTTTATAGAACACATTAAAAAAAATAAAAAAGTTCCCTCGCTGATCTAATTTTTTCTTTTTTTTTATCTTTTTAAATTTTTGTTTCCCAATGCACGATTGTTGACTCGTTCTGTATACAGAATTCCCTTTTATTTCATGCTCAGACTGCAAGACAAACGTTCTTGTACTCACCGTTAAGCTTCACTTTCCTTTACGTAGTTCAATATCCTGGAAGTTTCGTTCTCTTCGCCGCCCCGAGCAGTTAACTGCGTCCAATCTGTAT